ATTATATATATATATATAATTTTATATTCATCTTCTGTTATGACAAAGACTGAGACACTGGCAGAAAACTAGGTGAGAAAAGAATACTTCAAATAACGTCTATAATATGCTATTATAAACACTACACACTAAGACTCCATCCATGACACTAACTACTAGATGAATGAAGTTATAAACATTAACTAACAGTGGGCTGGAGGGATAGCACAGCCATTAAAGGCTAAGGCTAACAACCAAAACATAAAAATTAACTAACAATAAGTTTTAACAGTAACTTATAACAACTAACTTTCTTTCTTAGCTAGTGAGAGAAATCGACTTAATGTAGTATTTCTATAATCCTAGCTCAATTAAAAAATAAAGAATTCTACTTCATTTCAAGCAGGTAAAAGCTAATACGTATATTTTTTCTCATACATAAATTTCATCTGATTGTCCTGATGTACATTAATAAAACTGCAGGGCTGGAGAGATGGCTCAGTGATTAAGAGCACTGGCTGCTCTTACAGAAGATCCAGGTTTGATTTCCATCACTCACATGGCACCTAATAACCATCCTAACTCCAGTTGAAGGTGATCCAACATCCTCTTCTGACATCCACAGGCATTTCATGACACGGGTGCGCCTATCTAAATGTAAGCAATACACTCATATACATAAAATAAAAATAGTAAATAAAATGTTAAAAAATAATAAAATAAATAAAAATGGGCCTGGGGCTCAGCAGTACAGAGCTTCACTCACATGCCTGAGTCCCTAGGTTCAATCTCCTATGCTGGAAAAACAAACAAAACAAAACAGAAGGGAAATCATGACTACAAATGTTTTTAAAAGTAACCATTGGTTTTTCTTCTGAAAGGATGTGAGCTAAAACAAAGAGAAAACTGTGTAAATAATAATTTTTTTAAGATGACACTTCCTCGTTGGAACAGAATGGGCAGCCTGGCTTACACACATACATTGATGTTTCCACAATAATTTATCTACATTTCTTCTAACTGTGATGCTAACAAAATGCTTTTATTAAAATACTTCAAATTAACTAGAGTGAAATGACTTCTAAAATAATTATGGAGAAAATAACCTTATATATATTTGGGTATATGCTAGAGATCTAATACTTTTAGATTTTTTTTTTCTGTCTTTTTGAGACAGGGTCTCCCTGTAGCCCCAGCTGTCTTGGAACTCACTATGTAGACCAGGCTGGCCTTGAACTCACAGAGATCTGCCTGCCTCTGCCTCCCAAGTGCCGGGATTAAAGGTGTGTGCCACCATGCCCAGTTAGATTTTAGTTATTTTTAATTACATTAGTGTGTGTGTGTGTGTGTGTGTGTGTGTGCGCACGCACACACGTATGTTTAGATTTTAGTTATTTTTAATTACATTAGTGTGTGTGTGTGTGTGTGTGTGCGCACGCACACACGTATGCATCTCTACACATGGGTGCAGGTGCCCACAGAGGCCAGAAGATGGCATCAAATTCCCAGGAGCTAAAGTTACAGGTAGCTGTGAGCTACCCAATGTAGGGGCTAGAATTGAACCTGGGCCTCATTGAGTCATCTCTTCAGCCACATACAAATGATTACATACACAGCATTTCCATTGCTTTGTTATTATTGTGTTTATATGTATGCATGTGCTATGGCACATGTGTGGTGGTCCAGAAGGCAACTTTCAGAAGTTGGTTCTCTCCTTCCATGGGTCCAGGGATTGATTATCCTGAATCATCTCATTGGCCTTAAATTTTAATGTGTAAATGGCACAAAAGTTTATGAAGCCTCAAAAATGACTTGGTCAGCAGTTGACTTGAGAACTGGCAAAAGGGGAGGGGACGTGAATATGCCAAAGAAATTTATTTAAAAACTAGCAATAGGGCTAAAGACATGACTCAGTGCATAAAGTGTTTACTGCATAAGTGTGAGGACCCAACCAAAGTTCAAACCCCCAGAACCCATGTAAAAGCCAGGCGAGAGTGACTGCAGCCTGTAATACCCATGTTCCAGAGGCAGAGACCGATTGCCAAGGAGAGTGAAGCTCAGGGTTCAGTGAGAGATCCTTCCTCACACATGTAGAGCAAATGAGAAAGCCACCTGACATCAACTTCTGGTCTCCGCACACATGCGCACATGTGTGTGGCCACCATACATGTGTGCCCATGCATGTGAACATACACATGTACAGCATACATACATACACATGTACCAAAAAACAAAACAAACCACTAACAGGGCTGGAAATGTAGTTTAGTAGATAGACTGCTAGCCCAGCATGCATGAAGCTCAAGATTTGATCCCCAGCATCACATAAAACAGGGCATGGTACACACACCTGTAATCTCAGCACAGGAAACCTTGTGAGTCCAGGCCAACCTGGACTCTTTTACTGCAGCTATGTTCCATGGAACCTAATTCCCACTATGTATTAAGACTCAAAGCTCTTAACAGAAACTACTTCCATAAGCTTTCTCAATTTTACAGAAGAGGAAAATGAAGCTAGGAAATTTAAGGAAAATGACAGCTTAAACAGTTAGTCAATAATACAGCCAAAATTCAACTCCAAGACTATCTGTAAAACATGATTTTTAACCACTGTCCTATCCTATTTTTCTTGTAATCTGTTCCTACTACTGCTTGTAATCTCATAGGTCAGGAATACAAAACAGATGACTGATAAGGTGAGAAAATAGCAAAAAGTAAAAACCATGGTGGAGCGTTGTTGCAGAAGTCTGCGATCCCCGCACTAGAAGAGTGGAGGCAGGACTGCCACAAGACTGAAGCCAGCCTAGTCTCCAGGGTTCTAGACCACCCAGGGCTAAAAAATGACACCTTGTATCATAAAATAGAAAAATTAAGATGAAAGCAACAACAAAAACTCTGAAGAACCATATAATGTAGAGTAATACACTTGATTTAAATGACCAGCAAAGCTCTATCTGCTGAAAGAAAACACACACACACACACACACACACACACACACACACACAAATCAATTGCAACTGTTTTGTTTAGCGCTAAAAACTCAAGCTGTAGTGATTATAAAACACATCAGAGGTCTTCAATTAGCAGCCAAACAATTGTTTCAATAATTCACAAGAAATGACTTACACAAAGTCTGTCAGTATTGTCGAGTAAACCTCTGAAGGGCCAAGAACGTCAGGCGCCAGAGTGTATCGATGTGGAGAGCAAAGCAGGAAGCCAGATTAACCTCTAAGATGCCTCAGCTGCTGCACTCAAGCCCATCGATGCTAATGGAGCTGCTACCACTTGGAGGTAACTAAGCCCTCATCAAAGCAAAGTCTTTCAGTTTCAAAGTCTCTGGGTGTATATCCTCTGCATTTGCCCCTGAGCACATCAGTTGGTGCACTTATACCAATGAACAAGAATGAAGCTAAAAGGACTGGAGAACATAAAAAGTGGAAAGTAACAAAGCACAGCAACCCACAAGGTAACAGTTAAAGTTCACCTAAGAAAATGAGAGAGTGTTCACAGAGGAGAAAGCAGTTCTCTCCATGGTAGTCATGTTGCATGAAGATGTCTTATACTGTTTGCAAAGAACTTCAACTACTGGTAAAGTCATCTGATCAAATGAATACAAATCGAACCCTCAACTACTAAGCATCACTTGTAAAGCAAGTTATAAGACTGGATTTATCGTAGCAAACCTAACTACAAGGTTGGTGGCAGGGAAGAGGAAGGGGAGGGGGAGGGGGAAGGGGAGGGGAAATGCCTTCTGCCCTGATGAAGACCTCTCTGCTTTTGAATGAATGTTTCCTATTGGAATCAAGCACATCTAGAGCTCTGGTTTCTGTAAGTAACAGATACGATGCTATTTAGTAGTTCTCACGTACCATTTTTAAAACTCTACGTCACCTCATAGCCATCTGTCTTTCTGCCTTATCTTAGTAACAGGGTATATACAGACTTGATAATTCCCTCAAATATATACAAAAATATGGTGAAAGATAATCACAGATTTAGAATAGAGAAACCGCCCATGGCTAAATGGAGATGATAAACTAGACTGAGTATCCCAAAATCTGAGGTTAAAAGTTCATTAAATCCCTGAGTAGCCTTTGCAAGAATGCTCTCACAGAACAAAAGTGTAGCCACAAGATAGATAAACGTGCAGCTATAACAAGAGTGAGAAAAATCCATTACAGCTTTTAATTCAAATGAGCATGCTATGTTGTACTGCAAGCAAATGTGCCAAAGGGTCCCCTGTCATTTTAACCTTCCTTATGCCCTGCCAGCCATCCTCCTCCTACCCATTAGTGCTAATGGTACTGCTCTCTCAAAACTCTAAGTCATCATTATGAAGTTATCAGATAACAAGAAAAAAAGAGGCATTTTTATTAAATCATTGACCACATTGGATAAAAACACATTAAAATAAGACTGTCAGGAAGGAACTAGTAAATATAGACCAATATTTTATATTTGTACTCAATCTCTTTAACTCAAACCTCAATTAAACAATTTCAATACTCATTTTCCTTTATCACCATGTAGAAAATTAATCTCTTTTATAGTCTTCATAAGGAAATTCAGATCCAACTATTATGAAAAGCAATGAGAAAAAAACAAAAACTGTAAAAAGTTCTAGTTTGAAATCAAGAAAATTTTTTTTAAGATTATTTTGGATGAGATACGGTGGGACATATCTTTAATCGCAGCACTCAGGGAGGCAGAGGCAGGCAGAGCTCTGTGAGTTTGATGCCAGCCTGTTGTATATAATGAATTCCAGGCCAGCCAGAGCTGTGTAGTTGTGTAGTGAGACCCTGTTTCAGAAAAAAAAAAAAAAAAAAAAAAAGATGATTTCCTCTAAAAGGCTCCAAGGGCATATGTAATTAATAATTAATATAGTTATCTTTACAATTGCAGAGTAAAACAAAAAGTAAGATTAAAAGTTTAGCAATCATTCTATATATCTAAGAAACTACAAAGGAAACAAAGAGTTAACTGTTCTTTTAAAGAAAATTATTTCATGATGATATGAATACAAACTATTTTAAATATTTTTCTTAATAGAGCACATAGTACATGTTTTTTACAAAATTTCATTGTTATCTCTTTTAAAAAATCACACTGCTTAGAAATAATAAAAATGATAAGACAGCAAAAAGGGGGTTGGACAGATGGCTCGGCAGTTGAGAGCACTTACTGCTCTCAAAGAGGACCCAAGTTTGGTTCCCAGCACCCAATCAGGTAGCTCACAATTGCCTCTATCTAGCTCTAGGGGATCTGATGCCCTCTTCTGGCCTCTGCAGATGTGATTTCATTCATTAATTCATTTATTCATTCATTCATTCTCTCTCCCTCTCTCTCAAATAAAATATACATTTCTTAAAAATTATTTCATTTTTTTATGTGTATACATGTAGGTAAATGCACCCATGTTGTGCAATGCCCACGGAGGACAGAAGAGGCTCTCAGATCCCCTGTAACTGGAGTTATGGACAGTTGTTAGCTGCCATGTTCAAATCCATGTTGTAGGATTTGAACCTAGGTCTTCTGTAAGAGCAGTCAGTGCTCTTAACCACCGAGCCATCTCTCCAGTCCTTCCACCTTATTTTTTGAGATGGGGTCTCTCACTAAACCTGAAGCTTGACAGGTTCCTTAGCTAGAATGGCTGACCAGCAAGGCCTCAGGATCCACCTGTCTCCACTCTCCCCAGCACTGGGGTTACAAACAAGTGCCACCACATGTAACTTTCACAAAGAAACTGGGGATCTGAAATCAGCTCCTCACGCTTGCACAACAAGCACTTTACCCACTGAGCCATCTTCCCTAGTCATCTTTGTGAGATTTTTTTCAACATAAATTTTATATACTCTGGCCCAGAAAAGTAGAGTGATTATAGCTATAATGCAATAGTAATAGAGAAAAGGGTAGATTTTAGATTACACTAATTACTGAAGCTATTTTCATGTAGTTACTATGTAAAACTGGAACTCTTATTCCTCAGAAGGTCAATTCACAATAAATAATATCCAATACCTGACTAGGAAAACTTATTATTTCAGGTAGAAATTATTCCAATGTTCAAATCCTTTCTACATTAAAAAAAATCCACATAATATGCATGAAATAAAGGATTTCTCTATGTTGGATAAGAATTTAAACAAAATAATTTGACAAGTGTTGGGTGTGGTGGCACATGTCAGCACTTGAGAGGTGGAGGCAGGAGGGTTAGTGTCATTATCTGTTACATTGTGAGTTTGAGACCCTCTCTGAAAAACAACAGTAACAACAAAATACACAAAATGAATTTTAAATGATTGGATAATACTTTAAAGAAATTACACATTATTCATGCTTTCAGACTTGAGCCCAAGTCAATAGATGAATACTATGTGGATTTGAAAAAAATATTTTTTAAACTATGTAATGCCATTTTAGTTGGGTATAAACATAATTTATCAAGTCAGGATATAATATATGCTTGGATTGAAGAGTGTGCCCAAAAATTAAACATGCTGAGCTGGGATGCAGATCAGGGGTAGAGTAAATGCCTAGCATGCATAGAGTCTAGTTACCCTATTGGTGAGCAATGGGCTTTTAAAAATTAGTCAGATGATTCCCCCATGCTTCCAAGTGAAGCCAACCATGGTTGAGCAGAACCTTTGACTTATCTTCACATAGGCGGAACTGGTAAAAGAAAGGAGCCAGGGACTCCTCCCAAGCCCATGTGGCCCCTGAGGAACAGATCCTCAAATGACCTTAAGAGTAAAAATAAATCGGTTTATCTGGACCAACTGTATGGCCTTAAACACCCAAAAGGTGGCCAAAGGGATTCCCAGATAGTAACCCAGCATAGAACTGGGAAAATGAACAGCAGACCCCAATCTTATCCAAAGGAATATTGACAACTGATTACTGCTAGATGAGGAACAGCTGACCCTCCTAAAACAAAGAACTCTAGGCTGACTAGATTCTCCAGAAGGGCAAGTAGTGGGGAATGGCTGGGTGTGCCAACAACACAGCAGACAGTGGCAAGGATATCAGAGTACAAGGGCTCTGGTTGGGGGAGGGAGGCTATGGGAGGGTGCTACCTGGGAAGTGGGTGTATAATAAATTTAAAACAATTTTTTCAAAGTATAAAAATTTGCTCCTTAATAATTAGTAGATGTGAAAAACATTACGATTGAAATCTACCTGACGACTTTATATCCATGCTCAGATGCCAAGGAGCTCAGAAAGTAACCGACTGTGACTAGTAATAATCAGATATATAGAGATTAGAAACGCATGTGAATCTTAGTGTCAATTTTAGTAAAAATGTAGGAAACGGCATATCTTAAAATGATATGATCTTGTTTAAAGGGT